AGCAATACACATTTTATCTTATCACACTATATTATGCCTAGGGAATTTCAATTAAATGGTACCATTAGTTTTCCCTTCAATTTTGGTTTTCTTTAGACCACAAAGGGTTCAAACCTGGGTCTAATTGGCATAAATGTGGTGGGAATTTTACCACTATCTAAAGAACAAATCTGTTATTATTATTATTAATTTTTGAGATGGATTTTTGCTCTGTCACCCAGGCTGGGATGCAGTGGTGTAATCTCGGCTCACTGCAACTTCTGCCTCCTGGGTTCAAGAAATTCTCTTGCCTCAGCCTCCAAAGTATATGGGATTGCAGATGCCTGCCACCATGCCCTGCTAATTTTTGTATTTTTAGTAGAGACAGGCTTTCACCATGTTGGCCAGGCTAGTCTTGAACTCCTGACCTCAGGTGATCCGCCCGCCTTGACCTCCTAAAGTGCTGGGATTACAGACATGAGCCACCACACCCGGCCCAAATCTGGTGATTTAGGTTAAAAAACAATATATCCTGCTCTGTCCTTATTGAACACCTACACTGATCATTGCCCAATTTTCCCTTGAGTGCGTGTTAGAATGCTAGGGCTCTACTGAGAAATTTCAAAAACCATTTTATTTTAATTTTTTATTCATATAAATTTAAAGAGTACAAGTGCAATTATGATACATGGATATCTTGAATAATGGTGAAGTTTGGGCTTCTACTATGTCCATCACCTGAATAATGTACATGGTACCCATTAAGTAATTTCTCATCACCCATTCCCTCTCACCCTCACACTCTTTCAAGTATCCAATTCAAAACTCTTTTAAATTAAGGAGCTAGTATTTAAAATATATCAATAGCCCATTTCAGACGGCTTTGTGTCAAATCACTTTCCCATGCTTTTATCCCTAGATGACTCAGTTGTCTTCACATTTTTTGTCCAGTGTAAAATTTTAGATTTCCCTGCATCTTGCTCCCCCTACTGCCAAGTAGGTGTATGCGCGCCTTAAAGTAAAAACAAATGCCACATTCCAAAGTACTATATGCTTTTTCTATAAAATGCATACCCTTCCCTGTTGTCCCCGACCTCCCACCAAAATGTGAAGTGGTCTGGATAATAAAATTTTCTTTTTATCACCATTGTTCCCATTAATAGCACAAGCTTACTCTGTATTCTTTCGGAATTCTTTTACATAGCTAGGCTCCCATCCTGGAAATGTGAACAAATGTCAGTCGCAAGACTCACTGCCAATTTTCTTTAACCAGAAGTACTAATGCTGGCCACAGTTCTCACCACTATTCCTTCTATTCATCAATTTCTTTAGCAAACATTTATCATAGACCTTCTAATTTTCAGACCCTGTCTTTAAGAATGAAGATATTAAAAATATGTACTTTTTGACCTTGAAATCTCATAGTCTAGTAGAGGACACCTATATGTAAACAAATAATTTCAATGTGTGACATGTGGAGGAGCATTTTATGAAAATAGAATAGTCAAGTGTGTACATTTTCAGCACTGAGCTAGCTCTAAAAGCTTTCTCACCTGCAAAATAGGACAAGTGCCTACCTCAGAAGGTTTTTGTGAGGAGCAAATGGCACAAGGCATATAAGGCCGTGTGCCTGGCATTTAGTGGGTGCTCAATAAATGCCAGCTACTATTATTACTAGTTAATAATGACATGATAATAATCAGCGATTTTTTGGTTTCCAGAAGTAGGAACTATTCTCTCAGTCACTCACCACTTGGAAGTTTCTTCCCCTAGTGTGATACAGCATTTTGAATCATTCAGGGTTCACTCTGGAAGCAGAAGCACTGTGAGCTATCTAGGGGACAAGGGATTTAGTTCAAGAATGGGACGTTGTCTGGTCATAGGAGGATCTGGGGCAAGTGATGTTCCAGGAAGGAATTTGGAGTTTTGGAGAAGTCATCAACCTGAGAAGTTAAGCACGTCCAAGCACCGAAATGAGGCTGCAAACTGAAGATGCGGGGAAGCCATCAGAAGCTGTGCTTCTGTATTGCCACCTGGAGTGAGGTGGTGGGCCTGGGGCTGCTCTTATTCCGTGTGGTCATCCTTCAGAAGAAGAGCTGACTGCGGAGAGAGGGAGAGCAAGGACAGGCTGGAGCCCACCAGCGCCACTGTATCTGCTGTAACCTCATCTAACGCAATGATCCCCAAGGGCAACAACTGCTGTGTTGCTTCCACCTTCTTCAAATTGGTCTTCTGGCTGACTCCAACTCAGAATCCTACAGAGCAGTATATTCTGAGAAAATAGGTCTAACCTAACCAAGTCCACATGGTTAAAAAACACCAGAGTCCATCTGTTGTCAGCTTGGCATCCATATGCACCTCTTTAACTATATTTAATTTCTAAATAAGGACATAAGCAGCATCATGCTTCTACCTAACGTGATGTAGCTATCTCTCACACACCTGAAAACACAGCAACGCTCTCTACGAAAAAGAGTACAGGTTCAGTCTCCTTTAGTGATGCTCATTCCTGTAGCTAGTTCACCTCCAAGCCTTTGCCATCCTGTAGTTTAAATATTGAGGTATATAATCAAGTGAACTACTATTAACATATCATAAGTTAGACAGCAGAAGAGCCAGAGTAAGGGAGAAAGAAATCAGTTTTCATATTTTCTATTCACTTCACTTTGAGCAAGCACATTGACTGATTGTGTCCCTTTCTGGCAGGTAACCCAAGCCTTTCTTCTTGAAAGGTCTGTGCCCGGAGCTGTTCTGCCTATATGGGGTTGGTGTACTTTTTCCTTACAGGACATAGTAATTGTCACAGGCACGATCAGGATCTCATGCATTCCAGACAGCCTCCTTACCCACACTGTGGAGTAGCAAACCAATTTCCACTTCATAGTTAGAACAGTCACATCGGTTAGTACAGGCACTCCTTTCTTTGCCCAGATGACAATCTCAACTTCCAGTTTAATGGAACCAACACTTTGTGCTTCGTGGAAGCATCCCTTTCTTGGGAACTAAGATCTTTAGACTAGCAGAGCCCAGAGTTGCAGCTACTGAAAGCAAAAATTTCGCATACTAGTGAAATTCACTTACTAGTCATTAGAGGTAACAGTGGGAGAAATCACTTCCATTTCTACTGCTTCATTATTAGACACGTGAGTCATAACTATGGGAAAAGCATCAAGGCGTACTGTTTGCTGACTTGGAGAATACACCGTATTCTAGAGAATGTTACCCCAGCCTGCGAAGTGTTGCCACACAGCTGGTGTTACAACTAAGTCTTCAAAAGGCCATTCCATCATTCCCTCAGGCTAGTTGTTTAGATGACTGAAACTGGTTAATTTCGTGAACATGAGCCCATTGACAAACTACATTTACTGTAAAATTAATTCTATTGGCAGAATCAGAACTATGTGGAATATCATGATGGTGAAAAAGACATTCTGAAATCCACAGATGGTGGTTTTGGCAGAAGCATTTCAGTAGGGAAGGCAAATCTATATCCAGGCTAGGTGTCTATGCCAGTGAGAATAACAGTCTCCCTCCCATGATGAGAGTGGTCCAATGTGATCAACCTGCCACTCATACTGGGGGCTTATTATTGTCTCTGCTGCCATGGCAACTTTGTTCATGAGCCCACTGGGAAAAAATATAGTATGCATATACCCATGTTCATAACAGCATTATTCATCATAGCTAAAAGGTAGAAACAACCCAGGTGTCCATAGAGAGATGCATGGATAAACATAATGTGGAATATATCTGCAGTGAAATATTATTCAGTCTTTAAAAAGGAAGGAAATTCTGACACATGCTACAACATCGATGAACCTTAAAGACATTCTGCTAAGGGAAATAAACCAGTCACAGAAGAGCAAACACGGTATTATTCTAGTTATATGATGTCACTAGAGTAGGTAAATTTATGAAGACAGAGAGTAGATTAGAAATTACCAGGAGCTGGGGGAAGGAAGGAATGGGAAGTTGTTTAATGAGTACGAAGTTTCAGCTGGAAAAGATTTAAAAGTTCTGCAGACAGATGGTGGTGATAATTGCAGTTAATTCCTCCTTCAGTTCACACCTGGCCTTAGCTAATTGACCCAGGTATTGACGCCGGACCTGAGCTTGGCCAGTCACGTTTTCTTTCCTGCACGTTTAACATGCGGAGGAAGGAGAACCAGAGACCAAGAGCCCTTGAGATTGGGTCTTATTGTGTTAACCACAGTGCTCCAAATAGTCGGTCCCCAAAATCTTGTCACTGAGGTTCCTGAAGCTGCCCTGGCTCCTGCAAAGGTAAGCCTGATTTTGCTGTCATTGCTGTTGTTGTTAGATACCACCAGTAATTCCAGTTCTCCTTCCTCTCAATTTCTGTTTTGTTTTGTTTTTGCTTATTAGCTAGAGTTGGATATTGTGCTTACAATGAAAATACTTGAAACTTACAACAAAGCACAGGAGATTCCTTGTTGCCAGAGTTTAGTGGGTATCTTCCTCCTCCTCACATTGCCCTTGGTATTCAATGTTAGGAGTACGCGTGAGTGGCAAGTACACTCAGCACCCAATTAATACGAATATTTTATTAATTTTTATAGGGGTAAAATACACATATATATTTTATTTTATTTTATTTTATTTATTTATTTTTTTGAGACGGAGTCTCGCTCTGTCACCCAGGCTGGAGTGCAGTGGCCGGATCTCAGCTCACTGCAAGCTCCGCCTCCCGGGTTCACGCCATTCTCCTGCCTCAGCCTCCCGAGTAGCTGGGACTACAGGTGCCTGCCACCTCGCCCGGCTAAGTTTTTGTATTTTTAGTAGAGATGGGGTTTCACTGTGTTAGCCAGGATGGTCTCGATCCCCTGACCTCGTGATCCGCCCGTCTCGGCCTCCCAAAGTGCTGGGATTACAGGCTTGAGCCACCTCGCCCGGCCCACATATATATTTTATTATTTTAACCATTTTAAGTGTACAGATCACGGGTAATAAATATAATTATATTCCTTTTTTTCCAGGAATTTTTGACAAAGTGATACCACTTGTTCTCATAACAAAGACTAAACATTTATTGAGTATCTTCACACACAAAAAATACTCCCAAGTCACAATCAATGGTCACTCAAATAATAATTGATAAAACTCTTCTAGAACAAACTACTTTGAACAGTCTCTTCAATTTTACTGTAAGAAGATTCAACACTGCTAGCCCTTTTTTTGTCAAAGTGGCTCAATATAAGTTCAATGCTTCTTATTTGAGGAATAGAAACCCTATGTAAATTTAATTATCATCATTAGCTTACAGATCGCTGTAGTACTTATACACTTTACTCTGCTTTGAGGATTTTTTAAGAGAAAGTCACACAGTAAGGAAAAAAACAACAATAAAATTTAAATAGTATGTTTGTTGCTCATTTGCCTTAAAGACAAATGCTTACTAAATGGAATTTTTTAGAATGTCTTTTTACTGGATAGAGTCAACCTCCTCAGCAGCTTCATTTGAGGAAAAATTTAATTACAGCAGCACATGTTTTTCTGAAGCTCTCTAAGATAACATTTACTCTAACCTAGGCCTAATTCAAAATGCAAGTACAACACACACACGTACACACACACACACACACATCTATTCTGTCTGCTGTGGTGAGCAAACGTGGTTAGAGCTGGAGCCAGAGAATTGTGAACAAATAATATTTCCTTGTGTCCATTGCCCTAGGTGATGGTTCTCAAAATACGGCTCTGAAACAGCAGCACCAGCACCACCTGGGAGTTTGTTCCAAATGCAGATTCTCAGGCCTAGCCGTAGGACTGTTGAATCAGAAACTCTGGCGGTGGGACCCAGCAATCTGTGTTCTAACAAGTTTAACAAATGCTCCAGGCGATTCTGATGCATGCTCAGGATTAGGAAGCATGACACTAGACTCTACTGTGAATGCTGATCAGTCATTTTTCTAAATGTTATCTTTTGGTTCCAAAAACTCTGACAAGGGAATATGCATGGATGAGGAGATAGGTCACTCTGAGTGTACAATAACATCAACAACAAAACTGAGTATGTACTCCTTCTTGTGGGGATGGGAGGGCAGGGAAAGAGGAGGGAGAGGCTGTCATCAGAATCACCTTAATTCCAATGCTTCTTTTGATTCCATCACAATGACTCATGGGGAAAACTCAGACTTACCCGAACTGCCAGGGTGCTAAAGGGATTTCAAAATCATGTAGTTCATCTCTGCCTTCTTGGTTCAAGGTTAAGATGGCCTCATCACAGCCCCTGTGGGTGACTTTCTTCCCACTGATCCCATCCCCTTGAGTGTGCAAATATAAAGTAGAGCATACCCAGTGCATTTGTCCACTAGGGATGCATAACAAAATACTGCAGATTAAGCGGCTCAGACAACAGGAATTTAATTTTTTTCGTAGTTCTGGAGGCTAGAAACCCAAGACAAAGCATCTGGCGGGTTTGGTTTCTCCTGGACTTCTCTCCGCAGCTTGCAGGTGGCCGTCTTCTCCCTGTGTCTTCATATGGTCTCCCAGAGGCGTGGTCTCTGTCTCTGTGTCCAAATTTCCCCTTCATATAAGGACACTGGTCAGATTGGATTAGGACCCATCCTAATTACCCCACTTCAACCTAACCAACCCTTTAAAGGCCCTATCTCCAAATACGATCACATTCTAAAGTCCTGGGAGTTAGGACTTCAGCATGTGAATTTTGGGGAGATGCAGTTCAGCCCATAACACCCAGAGAGAAATAAGTTCTGCTGGGGCAGCCTTCCATGAAGCCTCCTGCTTAGCTACCTTCTCACTGAAGACACCAAAACCTTCCCTGTCCCTGTCACTCATTTATAACAGTACCTGAAGGAATTCTTTAACTCAGGGCTTTAGAAAGACAATAAAAAGATTGAAAATCGTTGATCAAATTTCATGGTACGAGAATGAAATAGACTTTCCAGCTTTCATAAGTATGGTTATACTTACATGCACACACATAAAAGTGTTATGCAGTACAATTCCAGTATAAATATAACTTAATAAAAATTGGAGAAATTCTAAACTGTCAATCTAAAATGAGTGACAGGGACCAACTCTCCAAAGCAAAGAATTCATTCAGGAATAGCAAGGGATTGCAACGAAAGGTATGTGTGCTATGGCAGACCATAGGCACATCAAAGAGGAATGAGGAAAGTGAAAACTCTTAAGGCAAAAAGGAGTCTGCAGAAGCTGTTTTGAAACAAACCATTGGTTACAGGGGCTTGTTGTGGGAGCTGACATTAGCTCATGGGTGGAGGCAGCTGTTGTGAGGCAAGTTTCTTTGTGCAACTGGCTTATTTGGAACGCTGCAGCTTTGAGGAATTCCTTGCGTAATTCCCGTTATAGGCAGGCATGCAAGAGGTCCCTCCGTCACGGCCTCCTGGCTTCATGTGTTAGGACTTGACATTGGTGACTCCACTTCGATACTGATAATTTTCCCAAAACTATTTGTGACTAAGTAAATTGTTTCTCTCTGAATTCTTTTTTCATTATCCAGGTGTAGTGTCCAGTTCTCATCACTTTTTCTGTGCCTTTCTGCGCCGTGCAGGAGGGTCTCCACTAACAACGGCAAAAAGGACTTTGCCTTTGGTCTTACAATTGCTTCAAGTATGTAATGCAAATCCCCACACTCATTCACTGCTAAAAAGTTTTGCTCCTTCCAGGGAACTCTCCTTCTTCCAGTGCACAGAATGCAAAATGCCTGCTGTCAGTTGCTTATTTCCCAGGAAGTGGGCCTCTCTGTCTTGGTGTAAATCAACAGCTTTCTCTACCTTTGTTGTGCTGTAGGGGTGGGAAGGTGATATAGCCCACAGCTTTTGGTTGGTGAAGTGACTATCTTCATCTTGGTAACCCCTGGAAAACAGAGCCCAAGACAAGGATTTGCATGGAGATTGTTCATTGCCTTCTTCTACAACTGCCTTCCTGGCCAGCTATTGAGGGTTGGTAGTGTCAATGCCCTAACCTGTTGGTTTGGATCAAATAGGTTCAACTAGCTAAAGGCTAGACTCCTTACCTGCTCAAAAAGCACACAGTGCAAAATTGAAGCCCACACTTGGCTTAAAGATCAGGGCCTCTGAATTGGCCTGGAGATCTTCAAATGTTAACTCAATTTTAATCAACATATTTTCATTGGCACTAGGTCCTTGAGTTCTCCAAGTATTATAATGGTATGGGAGTTTTGAGGAGCACTTTTAACTGCTTTAACCTCACACACATATATTACAGCCGGGGTGAATGGTATGTGGGTGCAGCACAGAACACCTGAGAAGGTAAAGAGCACCTGTTTAGCAATTTCAATTCTCCTGCATGCTCTGTCCAATGGGAGCTAAGAATGTAAACCAATATGTTACTGAAAATAAAGTTTTAAATCATATGCACCAGAACTCCTGAAAACCATGGCAAATACTGCCTAAAGAGACTAATATTGAAAAAAAACAGAGGTGAGTACATAGTGTATGGACAGAATGGCAAACCTAGATTTGGAGATAATTCCAGGTACAGGGAAACAGAGAGATGAACCCACAGAAAGAGTTGAAAAAGCCTGCATTTTTCAAAGGGAAGTTCTTATTTTCCGTAACTATTTCTATAGCTGCTGCGTTTCTGCTGTTGTGATTATTTATAGACAGTCAAAAGAGTCTCTCTTTTTCATGTGTACGTTCCAATTAAAATCTGGCAGCAATTCATGAGACCTGTGAAGGCAATGCTGTAACTGTGTCAGCATCACAGATAACTTGTGCAACCTGGTGCCAGCTTCTCAAATTCAGTTTCTTGCTCAGTAAAAAATAAATATTTGGAGCCCGTTATCGATAAGGTAAGCAGTGAAAGGGCTTGGCCACGGGACAAAATATTTTTACAAAGTCTTCAAGGTGGTTTTCATTCTTGATCTCTCTCCATATGTATCCGGTTCCATAAACAAAAGTTCTGCCCCAATGTTGTGCTCCTGCTTTGAGCAAAAACATTATTTCTGTGGAATATAAATTTTCTCTCAGCTTCTCACAGTTCAATGATTCCTGGCAACATCAAAGAACTGAGACAAGAAAATGAGATGCTTTCTGAACATAAAGAAGTCGGGTCCTTCAGTCTCTTTCAAGAAATAATGGTGTCAGCAACACCTCTCAGCTGAGATTATCATCATCATAAATGGCCCTAACCTGCTGGAGAAGCACCGAGTGGTTATAGCATGGGCAGACATGACATTTTCAAGCCAGAGCACATCTAGCATTTGAAGATATTAAGATTTCTTGTTATTTTGTAATGATCACTGCATCTCACACACTTGGGGGAGAAGAGCAATGAAGTATAAGAAAAACCTGAAAATGAATAATTGTTGGGAAGAAATGATGGTTTAAATCATAAAGGGCACCTGTGAGGAATGCTGCTCCACAAATATTACCCCAGAACTGTGTGACTTGAGGAACGGCACAGGATATGGATTTTTCTTCTGTGTGTGAACAAAAGCGAGATAAATCCCAACAAATTGCACAATGTCTCTTTCATTCTCATCCACATACGTAACCTCTTTTCCTTCTCTTTGGAACTGACCACCGTGATCATGTCCTGGCCTCATGGAGCCAGATACAAGTCAGTAACTGCTTCCCAAGGCTCACCAGTGTCCACGTTCAGTGGCGGGATATGGACTTCCTTTTCCTCAGCAGAGAAGTATTGAGTCCACCCACAAGTTGGTATGTGAACTTATTATTATTCCAGCCAAGTAATTTAGTCCACGTGGGGATGTAAATTTATTCAAGCAGGTTTGAGTCAGTGTTGATCTGAAAAGGGAGGTGTTGATACCAAGTACCAGAGTTCCCACCTAAAATAAATCCACACTTATCATAGATCAGTGGTTCTCAATGAGAGGTGAGTTTTGGTTCCCCTGGGAACACTTGGCAATGTCTTCAGACATTTTTGTTGTCACAACTGGTGAGTGAATGAGTGTGTGTGTGCAAGCATGTGTGCATGCACTTGCTCTTGCTTCTGGTATCTAATTGGTAGAGGCCAGGGGTATTGTTAAATACCCTATAATACACAGGACAGCCCTCTCCCCTCCACCCAACAAAGAATTATTTGGCCCAAAATGTCAACTGGTGTTCAGGATGAGAAATGCTGTGATATATTAAAGATAGCCACAAATGTTTTTCGGCTTCTTTTATCAGGAATGGAATTTATTCCTGCCTGTGACTTGCCATGACTACTAGAATGCAGTGGGTGTCATGTTCAAATGCCAGAACTGAAATCTCAAGGGGCCTTTTAGCTTCTGCTTTTGCTCCTTGGGGATGCTGCCCTGAGACCTTCATACCAGAAAGAAGCCCAAGATGAAAGTCCAGGAGACTAAAAGACCCATTTGTCGCAGATGCATTCACAAGGTTAGCAGACTGACCCCCTAGCCAACTCATAGCATGATGAGAAATAATACATGACTGTCTTAAGCCAACAAAGTGTGGGCTGATATACTATAAAGCAATAGATAGCTGAAACAGTTCTAATGAAAGATAACTAGAGTGTGCATACAGCTTACTTTCCCCAGTGTTTCCTAAGCGTTGGGTCATCAGATATTTCTCATAGGCCCAATGGAAGTGGCCCCCAAGAATGCAGCATCTAAAGCGATTGCCTCCTTTTCCTCCACTGACACAACCAATCACATTGTGCGGGGATTTCTGGGAAAATCTCTCTTCACTGGTGAAAATATTCTAACTACCACTGGGTCTTGCTTTCACTTCTTCCTTTTGTCTTGAGTCAGCAGTGACTGGGATGTGTTTAGGGGAAGAGAAGAGAATGGAAAAGCATTACAGTGCAGAATGGAAATCCCTGGTAAGTCATTTTGTGGTTGTATCCTTCTTGCATTCCACATTTGGTCCTTTGGAAAACCCCCAAAGAGATTGTGATTCCACTAGGAGAACAAGGGGATCACATTCCTTAGGACATTTGAGCTGTCCATGAAGACAGTCCTTTGCAGTTGCTCACACCCCCGTGAGCTGTAAACTCAGCAAGATGCCAAGGACCCGCTCAAATGTGGCCTTAAGGACATTGGGAGTGAAGAGAAGCACAGCTACCTTCTGCACTCTTGTCAGGCAGAGGATTCTCAGCCCTGCAGGGGCTGCCAAAGTTCTCTCCTCTCCTCTCTGCCTCCTGAGAAGCTCTAGTTCTCTACTCCAGCCCCTTCCTGAGAAGCTCTAGTTCTCTACTCCAGCCCCTTCCTGAGAAGCTCTAGTTCCCTACTGCAGCCCCCAATTGTGCAGCATAAGAAATCAGGTGCAGAGCTCCCTCCACCCCAACCTCCTGTCCCACATGAGCAAAACTTGTTGAAAGCTGGCTGCGGGGAATCTGGGGCTGAGGTGCTTCATCATCAACACTGAGCGTCTTCCGGTGCGGGGCTGACTGCAGTATAGAATAAGGAGGCCTCTGTGTTGTGAGGCAATCCTTTTGCAGAACAGCTGAATGAACCACGATTGACTGTAGCATCAAGTGCCTCTGCTCCAGCCCTGCTCTGTGCTTCAGGGCTGGGTGGAGGAGGCAGGGCAGTCACCGTCTTTCCCAGGGAAGTCTACAGAGCAGGGAAGGAGGTTCACTGATGTGAGCAGGGAACGTGAGGCACAAGGAGAGTCGCCGGCAGTTGAACCAGATCTTTGAGGGAATGAAAGAGACCAGCATGGGCCCTGCCAATTACGCATGGCGCCTGCGGTCAGGTCGCTTTCAGTTCCCTTATGCGTCGGGGATTCTCAATCCTGGCTGCACATTAGAATAGTCTGGGATTTGTTGTTGGTTGTTGTTGTTGTTGTTGTTGTTTTTGCTGATGTCTGGGACCCATCCCTAGAGAATCTGATAAAAATGATCTGAGCTGAGATCCTGGCTTCGGTGGCTCCTAATGTGCACATATTTGTTTGTTACTTTGTTTGGGGGTGGAAAACATTTTCTTTCGTTCTGTGTTCTGGATTAAGGCTCTTGCCTTCTTCAGACCTTGGACAGCTCACAGAGGGTTACACCCTCGGCCTTAGCGCCAGAAAAAAACTCACAAGCGTCCTACTGCGCCCTCTTGTGTCAGCAGTGATACCGTACAGCTCCTAAGGAAAACATTTTATTACACAAGTTACCAACAGAGAAGAAAAATATACAAAAACGAAAAAAATATACAAGTAACCTGTAATCCTCACTGTTAGACAACACATGGGTATCTCTGCAGAATTTTTGATAAATTTTGTTCTCTACAAAAATAGAAGGTTGCATACGCTGTCTTGTTAACATTTTACTTAATAACCGTGAATATGTTTTCATGTAAATGAATTTAATTCTATATTATTTTAATTGCTTGCACAACTGAATAGCATTTCACATGCAATGGTAGTAAAAATATTTAACATTTATTGGGCACTTACTACGTGCCAGGAACTGAGGTTAGTACTTGGCATAGATAATCTCATTGTATATGCACAGCATCCATATGAAGTAGGTATTATAATTATTCCCATTTCATAGATAAGGACATCGACGTTAATTTTCTGAAGTGGTATAACCAGAATGCAACGTAAGCATTTTACTCTATATTACCAGGTACATTCAATTTATCTCTTACTGTTGTCGTATTTGTTGTTTCCTTTGGAAATTGTCTTTTCTCTCACTCTCTCTCTCTCTCTCTCTCTCTCTCTCACACACACACACACACACACACACACACACACAGAGGCCATAGGACTGTTTCCTTATTCCTTATGCTAGACTCTTAGATGGATTCACGGATCAAAAGTTATGAATTTTAATGGTTTTATATCTCTTACCAAAATTTCTCCAAAAAATGACATATTATACTCTCAGCAGAAGGCTAATGGAATGTATGTTGTGTATTATTCTGTTTCAAAAAGTACCAGCTTTAATTTCTAACAGTATAGAAAATGCTAGTATATACTATCTTGGAATACACTATTTTACATACATGTAAACAGATGTGTTTTAGGATCTAAGTAATTTTTAAGCATGTAAAAGATTTCGGATACCAAAAACTTAGAGCACTGCTGCGCTAGGAAAAGAAACTGGAGTCCATTTCAACGCCCGCCACCTGCGCACTAACACCCTCTTCTCCTACTCCTCTCTTTTCGGTCCATAGACTCACCTTGGCTGTAGGAATCACTCTTTCCTGTCGGAAAGGCCTTTTTGTTATTCGCGTTTTTATGTCCATCCCTCACGTGTGTCAATAGGTGTGGCAACCATGAAGCCCTACATTTTCAGATACAATTTTGTTCCTCTATTACTCCCTCTTAGCTTTCCAAGAATGCTGAGATAGGGTCAGCCTGTGTCCGAGGAGGAGGAACACGGTGATGGAAAGAGAACTGGGTGTGAATAGCACTTCTATTAGTGACCAGTTTGGAAACTATAGGTAGGTTACTTAGTGGCTTTAATCTAAGTTTCCTTATCCATAAAAATGAGAACATTATCTACATTTTAACGGTAGAGAAAATTAAATGAATTAGATATTTAGTACCAAGCTAGGCAGAAAACAGGAATTGGAAATGTCTAGTATTTGCCTGTGTCTGTATTCATCCTTTTATTTTCAACTTCTTTTATGCCTTTGTGTTTTATATATGTCTCTTGTAAATATCATATAGCTGGATTTTTAAAATATCCAACCTGACAATCTCAGTATAACTGGAGAGTTTTATTCATTAACTTGCTTTTCTTTTTCATTTTACCACCTACACATGCTTCTTCAATGTATTGTGTAGTCTTGGTTTTTTGAATTTACAAAAATGCTATCACACTAATTGACTCCTCTGTGAATTTGCTTCTTGCTCTCTCCATTATGTTTTGAGATCATGCACGTTATTGTGTGAAGCTATAGTTTATTGAATTTCTTCAGTGTGTAGCTCATTCTGTGACTATATCAAGATGTATCTCTGTTGTGCTGAGTTAGACATCTGGATTACCTCTGGTAGCATATATATACACACACACACACACGTATACACACATGTGTATATATATACACACATACATATATATTCATTCATTCATGCTAATATGATAAATACTCCCATGAGAATGTCTTCCAGTGCATATGTGCAGGATTTTCTAGAAGTGAAATTGCAGACCCCAGGATAGACATATGTTCTATTGACCAGGCAATGCTACACTGTTTTTTTTTCTTTTTTACCTCTGTGACATACAATGACATACTTTTGTGTAACAATTATAATTATTAATGATTACATACACTAAATCATAAGAGAATTATAGGATTTTCCCATTATTTTGGAATACACACCAGTAACATATTTACACAAATACAGCTCAAAGAAAGCCAAACACCATTTCATATTTGACAATGCTTCTTGTGTGATCTTTATACTAAATAAGCCAAATTTCACCCTTTGCATTAGTGTACTATTAATGTCAACCCCAATTCTTAATAACACCTTATAGACAAATGTATCCAATCTTAATCATTTTGACCATAAGGCAAGATTCTCATAAACCTTTTATAACCCGTTACAATTTTCACTAAAGAGCAGATCAGAGTTCTAAAAACAACCCTTAATTAATTAACTAATTATTATTGTTTCATAATTTATAATTTATTATATATTTAATATTATTAATTATATTATAATATATATCATATCATTATAATATATTACATATTATATCATATCATTATGATATATATCATATTATATATAATATATCATTATAATATATTACATATTATATATAATACATTATCATAATATATTACATATTATATATAATATATTATAATAATATATTACAATACTATATATAATATAGTATAATATATTACAATATATTACAATATACTATTATTTATTTTATTGTGTATTACTATTAATTAATAATTAATTTATTTATCTTAGTTTTTATCTGCTTTTATTTTAATATTCAATTTACAGAAAAACTGAATAATACCCCTTTAACTTTAGCAAATATGTTCACACAGAGAATCTCTTTTACAATTAATTCTTTATAAACCTTCCACAACTTGTTGAAACATTTAGATACTTTCTATCTCACTTAAAACAATCCTTTAACTCTCTAAACATAAGCGAGAAATCCACATTCCCTTGCCTTCTTACAGTCTTTTACTAAAAGTACATTCTGCTTTCCTTACATGCCTTGCCTGTAGAACTGTTTCTTTAGTAGTCTCAGATACATATTACAATGTTAACTCTTAGCAAAGTTTACTTTTGGTGAAAAACCTGGTTAGTAAGCAATTGTGTGGAGCCTAGGACATCAGACAAAAGCGCAGATAAGGTCTGACTGTTTCCAACACAGCTAGCGGGCATGGCTAACTCCACATGTCCCCAGGCCATATCTGGAATCTAATAATCCAAAGTAGGTAAACTGAACAATTTTTAAAACTTAAAGCAGCAGTTTATGAACTTAAAGCATGTAGGAAAACTAATATCTGATCTGCCTAATTTAGATCAAATGTCTAAATTTTGAAGACATTTTAATTTTACCAATAATCTTTAAAACTGTCTTTATTTCCCAAAGCTTACTAAAGTCAGATGAACCAAAAGGCACTGTAGTTTTTCTTTTTCTGACAAAATATTTGATTTAAACTCTTATTACTTTTAAACCAATTAATCAAAACTCTTTCACATATAAACGGCACACACACAACACATGCAAATAGACAGAAGAAGATCCAGTAGTTGTATGATTTTTCATTCACCAGTTTCTTTCTCTTTTTTAATTTAATTTTTTAAATGTGCACAACGTGCAGATTTGTTACATAGGTATACATGTCTCATGTTGGTTTGCTGCACCCGTCAACTCATCATTTATGTTAGGTATTTCTACTGATACTATCCCTCCCCTAGCTCCCCACCCACCAACAGGCCTCAGTGTGTGATGTTCTCTGCCCTGTGTCCAAGTGATCTCATTGTTCAATTCCCACCTATGAGTGAAAACATGCGGTGTTTGGTTTTCTGTCCTTGTGATAGTTTGCTGAGAATGATAGTTTCCAGCCTTATCCATGTGCCTGCAAAGGACATGAACTCATCTTTTTTATGGCTGCATAGTATTCCACAGTATATATGTGCCACATTTTCTTAATCCAGCCTATCATTGATGGACATTTGGTTCCAAGTCTTTGCTATTGTGAATATTGCCACAATAAACATATGTGTGCATGTGTCTTTATAGTAGCATGATTTATAATCCTTTGAGTATATACCCAGTAATGGGATAGCTGGGTCAAATGGTATTTCTAGTTCTAGATCCTTGAGGAATTGCCACACTGTCTTCCACAATGGTTGAACTAATTTACAGTCACACCAAGGGTGTAAAAGTGTTCCTATTTCTCCGCATCCTCTCCAGCATCTGTTGTTTCCTGACTTTTTAATGATCACCGTTCTAACTGGTGTGAGATGGTATCTCATTGTGGTTTTGATTTGTATTTCTCTGATGACAAGTGATGATGAGCATTTTTTCACGTGTCTGTTGGCTGCATAAATATCTTCTTTTGAGAAGTGTCTGTTCATATTCTTTGCCCACTTTTTGATGGGGTTGTTTGCTTTTTTCTCATAAATTTGTTTAAGTTATTTGTAGATTATGGATATTAGCCCTTTGTCAGGTGGGTAGATTGCAAAAATTTTCTCCCATTCTGTAGGTTGCCTGTTCACTCTGACAGTAGTTTCTTTTGCTGTGCAGAAGCTCTTTAGTTTAATTAGACCCCATTTGTCTATTTTGACCTTTGTTGCCATTGCTTTTGGTGTTTTAATCATGAAGTATTTGTCCATGCCTATGTCCTGAATGGTATTGCCTAGGTTTTCTTCTAGGGTTTTTATGGTTTTAGGTCTGACATTTAGGTCTTTAATCCACCCTGAATTAATTTTTGTATAAGGTGTAAGGAGGGGATCCATTTTCAGCTTCCTACATATGGCTAGCCAGTTTTCCCAGCGCCATTTATTAAATAGGGAATCCTTTCCCCATTTCGTGTTTTTGTCAGGCTTGTCAAAGATCAGATGGTTGTAGATGTGTGGTATTATTTCTGAGGCCTCTGTTCTGTTCTATTGGTCTATATATCTGTTTTGGTACCAGTACCATG